CGACACGAGGAAATCAGCTTGCCCGACAGCTACGAAATGGCCTACAAACGCCTCGTGTGCCTCAACAACAAATTTCGCAAGGATCCGTCACTGAAGCTGGCTATGCAGAAGCAGATCGACAACCTTTTGGCTAAGGGATACGCAAAGAAGTTGAACACAGCTGAGCTAGTAGCACATAAAGGACGCGTGTGGTACATGCCAATATTCGTGACTTGCAACCCAAATAAGCCCGGGAAAATGCGCCTAGTCTGGGACGCAGCCGCTAAAAGTAAAGGAGTAGCGCTTAACGACGCCGTTTTAGGCGGGCCCGACTTTTTGATTCCTTTAGTCGACATCTTATTGAAATTCCGTATCGGAAAGGTCGCCATCTGCGGCGATATCGCCGAAATGTTCCACCAAATTAATGTAACTAATAACGATATGCACGTGCAAAGGTTTCTTTGGCTGGACAACGAGGACGACATTAGCCAACCCAGCGTCTACGTCATGCGCGCCCTCACGTTCGGTATAAGCTGCGCTCCGTGCATTGCGCACTATGTGCGCGACAAAAACGCGAACACCTTCGTTCAACAATTTCCGGAAGCCGTCGATGCTATAACACGTTACCATTACGTTGACGACTTTATCTACAGCGGGGATAGCGAACAGGCTGTCATACAACTAGCAAAAATGGTAAAACATATACACGCCGCCGCCGGGTTTCATATTCGAAACTGGGCATCAAACTCAGCAGTGGTCTTAAAACATATGGAAGGCAGTTGCAATAGGACTCAAGAACCATTGCAGTTGAATTCGAACGAAAAGATTCTAGGAGTATACTGGGATCCAAATAAAGACGTATTCAAATACGCGCTCAGGTTCACAAGACTAAAGCGAAACGTTGTAGCAGGCGACACTACACCAACAAAGCGCGAGATCCTTCAGGTCTTAATGTCCATTTTCGACCCTCTTGGTCTTCTATCTAACTATACCATAACACTAAAAATTTTACTCCAAGAAATATGGCGCTCAGGCTTAGATTGGGACGAAGAGATCGACGCCGCAATGGAGTCAAAATGGTGCCAGTGGAAGATCGCTCTATCAGCCATGGCCAAACTGGAAATACCCAGGTGCTACTCATTTCATCTTGATGTCGCTGAAGATGTTCAACTGCATACCTTCGCAGACGCCGGCGAATTTGGTTACGCAGCGGTATGCTACCTGCGCATCAAAAGTGGCTCCCGTATCGACGTCTCTATCGTAGCTGCTAAATCAAAGGTGGCACCTCTGAACCCGGTATCAATCCCCCGTCTGGAACTTCAAGCAGCCGTACTGGGTGCGAGACTGGCTTCAAAGATACAAGGCATATCACGGCTACAAATAAAAAAGAGAATATTCTGGACGGATTCAACGACGGTACTGAAATGGCTCGGTATGGATCCCCGACAGTTCCGCCAATTCGTAATGTTTAGAGTTGCTGACATCTTGGAGCGAACGAATTTGAACCAGTGGAAATGGGTACCATCGCTTTTAAACCCTTCGGACCGGGCAACTAAGGTTGACTCTAAAACTGACGCAAGCCTTTGGTTTAATGGTCCCACATTCTTGCAATACGATGAAAGCAAGTGGCCCTACCGCGACGACCTGGGACCAGTCGACAACAGCGAAGTGAAAAATCACTTACTACATATCCGGAAGCTGGAACAGAAGAAACTCACTATCAACTTCGAATATTTTTCAAACTGGAGAAGGCTGTATCGTGCGCTGGCTAGATTCATTCTTTACATAGAAAAAGTCAAAGCAAGGTCTCGGTCCCGGGAACTTCCCAACAGGGTCACGTTTGAAATGGTTAAAGCAGCAAAAACGGCACTAATAACTCAGGCGCAGCTTAGCGAGTATGAAAACGATCTACTTAGCCTAAGAAGCGGTAAGAGTATTGAAAAAAGTAGTAAATTAAACGCGCTTGATGTATTTGTAGATGAGTTTGATGTCATACGTGTTCGAGGTCGGGCCGAATTCCTCGCAGCTCGCAGTGCTGTGGTTCTGCCGGGTAAACATCACGTCGCCTACCTTATAGTTAAAGACGCCCACGAAAGGTATCAACACATATCACACGAAACTGCAATAAACGAAATAAGAGGGAGATTCCATATACCGCGACTGCGTGTCCTGTACCGCATGGTACGTCGAATGTGTCAAACCTGCAAAAATAAATTCGCGGTACCTCGTCCTCCACAACTGGCTCCCTTACCTGCCGCTAGACTCGCAAGTTTCGAACGACCGTTTAGTTATGTTGGGATCGACTATTTTGGCCCAATGCTCGTCGCTGTCGGCAGGCATCGAGAAAAACGTTGGGACGTAATCTTCACGTGCCTCACGGTTAGAGCCATCCACGTAGAGATCGCCTACAGCCTCGACACAAGCTCCTGCGTCTTGTGCCTACGCAACTTTATTTCACGACGCGGAGTACCGAGAGAAATCTACACCGATAACGGCACGAACTTCAAAGCGACCAACAATATCTTGCGTATCGAAGCGAATCAAGTAGACTACGCAACTATCCAGACCAAATTTGACAATATTAAGTGGAACTTCAACCCACCGGCGGCGCCTCATATGGGCGGAGCGTGGGAACGTCTTATAAGGTCGATCAAGACCGTGTTAAATGGAATGCATCCCGAGCACAACTTTAACGATGAAACCCTTCGTAGCGCTCTCTTAGAAGTTGAGTTCATGATCAACTCAAGACCGCTTACCTTCGTTACCATAGACGGGTGCGACGATGAAGCACTCACGCCGAACCACATATTAATGGGCTCATCCTCAGGCTACAAACCAATTGGAACCAGCGGAGACCTGCGTCAACGCTATCGTCAAACGCAACTTTATGTGGATAGGTTCTGGCAGAGATGGGTGCAAGAGTATCGGCCGATCCTAACGCGGAGATCCAAGTGGTTCGAGAAGCAACCCCCTTTAAAGGTTGGCGACGTAGTGGTAATTGTTGACGAATCTATGGCAAGAAACTGTTGGCCGAAAGGCATCATAGTAGACGTCGTCACAGCAAAAGATGGCCAGGTGAGGCGGG